GTAGCTTGAAGACCTCTCTTTATAGCTCTTAATGCCGCAAACTTTTTTTGAACTTGCTTTGAATTTTTGAATGCTTTGATTAAATCTTTTGTTGTATCATACATTCTGAAATATCTGTTCATCATTTCTGGCATTGTTGGTAAATTTAACCTGTATCTTATTGCTACAATCGTTTCAAACATACTTTCATTGAAATGCAATATTGTGACTGCCATCCTAATTGGCCAAGAAGCATGCCAATTAATATTTTTATTAGCAAGCATTGCTTTGATATGGTTTATCGATTCAACTACTTGAGTTGAATGAATCTTTTTTACCATATCAAAGATTTTTACGGTATCTTCGAGGAATTTTTTAAGTGTTTTTATAGCAGTTTTATTTTTTGCATATTTCCATGGTTTAATCATCTTGCATTTTTCAGGATCTGGACAAAATTTATGATTTCCGGCATAATGTTTAGCGGAATTCAACCATAAAAACTTCTTTGTTTTAATTGACATATGTGTGTCATTGAGAAGTTGCCTAAGCCAACGCAATAAATTCTTTGAAATGCTAGATAAGATTCTGAATTCTGGCAGTTTGAGCTTTTTCTGTATATTGTTAAGAAAATGTCCAGGATCTCTGTATTCTCTGATACCTTTGAACGTATTTTTGATTGTAGAAACAATTTTGACATCGCCATCATGCACAAAAAAATTTACACGTTTTTCATTATTCCAACGCTTCAGCATTCTTTTTAAGCCTTCAAATTCCATTTCATTTGATTTTCCGTTGAAATTACCTTTGAAATTTTTAAAAGATTTAGATATCACTTCCCAATCTACAATTTTTTTGAGTTTCTCTTCTACAAATTGTACATAGCAAAACATTGCATTTCTTCTCTGACTCCAAGAACCGTCAAACAAAAGTCCCGAACATTTTCTCATTCGAGATTTCCAATAATTAACAGATTCTCTGGCAACTTCTATGATAACACGACCAACCTTTTCTTGGACTCGATGAAATGTAGCTTCTGACGGAACTTTGATGTTATTCAGCATGAATTGAAATTCTGATTGGCAAAATGTAGCGCCGCTCAATAATACAGATAGCACAAATTCAACAGTGTTGACGACATATGGCTCTACCCTATTTTTCGCGCTTTGAACTAAGTTCTTTATACGCTTTGCAACTGCTTTTGTTCGCCGCGGCATGAAAAATGAAGAATAACTTGACGGTTTCTTGAACAAATGGTCGCACATTCAAATATTGTGATGTACGATCAGGATAAAAGAATGTTGTTGCCGTGAATTTAGAAAATAGCAAAATTTCAATTTACGCAATCGAGATATAACTTGATCGTTTGAGCGATAACCATGGCACCCATAGTATTAATGAAAGTACTCATACTTACAATTATTTTCTCCCATAGGAATATTGTTCAATATACTTCACCTATAGAGGAAATCTCGAAATAAAATCGAATTTTTTCAAAAATTACAAAAATCAATTTTTTACAAAGATGTTCGAAAAATAACATTATATACGCATCAAATCAAAGCATTATATGGAGCATTATAATTCTATATATGATTGTCCATCTTGCTGTTGTGCTATTTTTTTTAAACAATAATTTCATTGTTGAAATTAAATTTGCAATTTCAGTAAAAATTGCGACCCATCATTTTGAATATAATTGAATTAATACATTTATTGTAAGAATATTATATACCAAATATTAGACTTCCACATGAATCCTGGTATGATATTATAAGTATTGCAAAATTAGAAAAAAATATGCTCATGATATACTAAAATTCATGTTTCAAGGTTAACTTATAAATAAAATAAGTTCGAGAAATGCATCACTAAATATTTGAGCTTGTGCACTATAATGCTATATAACAGTCTTCACTGTTTTTAATATATTGACTTTGCTAGACTTGATTTTTTTCAGCACCCTAATGAGTGCCCATCCTTAACTATGTTTATTTATTCATAGAAGAATGAAAAATATAAAGGGAAACGAATTGGTTAGATTAAAATATGAAGGACATATCTTTATTGAGCACTTCATAAATTTATATATGCCCAATGTACCAATTGTAATATTATCAAGTGCAATTTCATTAAAATCTGGTAAATTTTGTGAATTTCCATCATTTAAATCAATAAATTTTATCGATTTATGCTGAAGCAATACATAGATGTTGGTGTATATGTATTTAATTGCTGAACTATTAATATTTGATGATTCAAAATTAGTTGCTGGATCTGAAAAAAATAATGAACCTGTATCATTCTTAAATCTATATATAACAATAGAGTTAAGCACTGGAGTACGCATGGCAAGGCCACCACCTATTTTGGTGATAGATTGTGGGAAAACCAGTTGCTCTAAATAGACTAAGTCAACAAATGAATTAGGTGATATCGTTTTTATTCCAAATGGAACGCTATAAATTTTATCAAGTTTGCCGCTTGGATAAAATATCAAATTTGTTTGAGATTTATCGAAAAGAACACCTTCAATACCTGAATAATGTATGCATTCTGGATCTACTATAAATTCCTCTAAGCTTGGAGAAAAATCAAAGCTAAATTGAGAACTTAAATTTATTAAATTTTTGGGAATTCGAAATTTTCTAACAAGAGTATTGGCAAATATGTTATTTCCAATACTTGTAACACTATCTGGGATTTCAAGGTACTCAAGATTTAAGTATCCGTTGAAAGCATTATCTGCCGTACTTGTAACATCTCCAATAACAATAATTGATACTGCATCTTTATGTAATGTTTGTTTTGTGAGAGTACCTGATGCTTCAATAATCCATTCTTTGGTTTTATCATTCCAACTCAAACTCGAAAAACTAAAATTTAAAAAATCTGATCCGAAAAAATCTGACAAAATACATCGAGTAAATATTTTTAGTACAATAGATAAGTAAGAATATCTTTTGAAAAGATTCTTTTCTGGTATTTTTCAAATTCAAAGATGTGAAAAATATTGAATATGATATGTATAATTCTCTTTTGTTATCAGCGTATATCTATTCGTGTGTTTATTTATAATAAAAAGAAAATAATTAATGGAGTTGAATTTAATAGACTAAAATATGAATGGCAAATAGCTGATGAGCACTTGATAAATTTATATATGCCTAATGTATCAATTATAATGTTATCAAGTAAGTTTTGTGAATTTCCAATACTTAAATCAATAATCTTTACTGACTTATGCTGGAACATCACGTAAGTATCAGTTCTAATATAATAGCAAAGAGCCATAGAGTAGACACTTAAACAAAAAGTAATTATCTTGATATCTTTTCTCTTAATGTTTTTGAAATTTCATATCAGTAATTCAAACATAATTACGAGCTATTACAATATATATTGTACATTCCACTTAGATAAACTCTTGTCACTTTATCTGAATGAAAAATGTAAGATTGGCAGATTTCGGACCGATTCTTTAAAATGGAATATATGTTTAGTCATTTTAAAATAAAAATCATTAATGGTATTAGATGAGAAAGATTAAAATATGTACACCGATTCATTGTTGCGCATTTCCTAAATTTATATACACCTAATGAATCAATAGTAATGTTATCAAACTCAAAATCATTAAAGTCGGATAAGATTTGTGAATTTCCGCTTCCTACATCCATAAATCTTACGGATTTACGTTGAAACATTACATACATATCTGTATTAACATATTTAATTGCTGAACTATTAATAGTTGATAAATCAAAATTAGTTTTTGATTCTGAAAAAGTTAATGTGCTTGTTCCGTTCTTATATCTATAAATAACGATATATTTCATGATTGATGTTCTTACTACAAAGCGGCCGCCTATTGTAGTAATAGATTGAGGAATTATCAATTGCTCTAAATGAACTAAATCTGCAAATGCGCCGGTTGAGATTATTTTAGTTCCAAATGGAATACTATAAGTTCTTTCAAGCTTGCCACTCGGATAAAATATCAAATTTGTTTTTTCTTTGTTAAAAAGAACTCCGTCAATACTTGTGTAATGAAGACACCCAGGATCAGTTATGAACTCTTCTAAGCTAGGAGAATAGTCTAAGCTATTTGAAGTGCTTAATTTAACTAAATTATTCGGTATCCGAAATTTTTTAATGCGAGTATAGGAAAAGATATTATTTCCGAATTCGGTAACACTGTCTGGAAATTCAAGATATTGAAGATTTGAATATCCATTGAAAGCATTGTCGTCAATACTTGTAACTGCGCCAATTACAACAATTGAAACAGCATCTTCATGTAATGTTTGCTTTGGAAGTGCACCTGAGGATTGAATAATCCATTCCTTTGTATTATTATTCCAACTCAGCTCCGAAGAGCGAAAATTTCGGAAATTTCATAATGTTCTCAAAAAATTTGGTCGATGTATTTTGTCAAAAAAAATTGAATGACACAATTGATGTATAAAGTGTGAAGAAGAATGACATAAAAAGCTCATCTAACTATACCATTGATATTAAATGTTTGGCCATTATAACAAATATCAGAAGCTCGAATTGATATCTTGAAATTTGATCTATTTTTTATTTTGCTAGATCAATAGGGGCTTTTGTATCATGACATTCAAACAGCATATTGATGATGCTAGTTCAGTACAATTTCAGTAAAATAATATTCATATAGTTCGTTTATTCAAAATTCAAAACATAACATTTAAATAAATATCAAAATTACTATTTTAAGTTGAAGGAACATATTATTTGTCAAAATGAGACTTTGGATTAATTTGTCCCTAAATATTCTTTGTTGCTTATCTGTGAATGCTTGAATCAGATTTGTCTGATCATTTACATATTTTAATGCTCGTATTTGAGTCATAATTAATTAATAAAAAATAAAATATTAATCAAATTAAAATTGAGCATAATGTATAAGAAACAGCAATGCCTTTTGTGTAAATATTACTGTTGTTATTGGTATCTAGAGATGATTTGCCGAAAATTAAATAAATAAAATTATTTTCTCAAATTTCCCAGAGTTGAACTGATTGATTAACGTTTCCTGCTATAACCATGTTTTCTGCGCATGTCAAAGCAGCTATCTTTGCATTTCCAGCCGGAGATCTGAAATTTTGTTTTCCATTTTTGTCGAAAATTGTGAAACTGTTATCATCAGATGTTACGCAAATCATTTTTCCACATGGAGATACGGCCATTGTCCTTCCAAGATCCCTTCCAAGGTCGATGTCAAAAACGGTTTCGGTTCCAATTTTTCTGACATCGAAACACTTCAAAAATCCTTCTCCTCCAATTGTATAAACTTCGTATCCGAATATTGGTAAGCAGAGCATGAGTATCTTCTGGTCATGAGCCTTTTCCTTGTAAGTGACTTTACCTTGCCTCGTATCGAACAGAGCCAAAGTTCCATCATTGCAACCGCAAAAAACAATTTCATCCAAAGATGAAGCGATGGAGTTAGTAAGGAAAGGTGTTGGTACTGTATTCAAATATTGTCTTGTCATGTCCAATACTTTCAATGTCCTGTCACTGGATGACGCAACAACGAATCTGCCAGAAAAATCTAAATCTAAGAAATCTGTCTTAGAAGGTATTTGAAATGGCTGCGATAAAGTGGATGTATAAAAGTCATATTTCCATATCAGACCACTGTCGCATGAAATTAGACAATAAGGATCATTTGGATGCATTTTTATCGTATTTGGAGTGGCCGCTGTCTTGTAAACGCTAGGAGTAGTGACATCTCTGAAGTTTACAAGTGTCAAATTACCTTCATTTGAGCCAGAAACCAAAGTTTGGGAATCAAATCCAATTGAAAGACAAGTAAGTTGGAAATTTGACTGTTTCTTGCACATTTGGAATGTATGCAATAGATGTGGATTCATTTCAGTATCGTTTTGATTTATTAAATTAGTATATTCTGTTTGAAGTTGAGATAATTGTTCATTTGCATATTGAACTTCTTTATACTTTATTGGAACTTGTGTTGTAATACGGTCTATGTCAGCAAGATGACTAAAGCAGTCATCATTTTGAAGATTTTTATTTTGTATTTCAATATGTTCAAGGAATTTTTTGTTGGATTCTATCTGTTCTTTGATGCTATCATTTTCCTTCTTTCTGTCAGCGATCTCTTTATTTTCTGCGTTCAAAGTTGTTCTCATTTGATTTAAACAAAAGGTTCTATGATCAATTGTAACATTAACATCGCTAATCATGTGTTGTAGACCAATATATTGATTCATTAATTCGATTTTTTCGGTATCATTTTTATTAATTTTTGATAAATTTGAAAAATTCTCTTTGTAGTCAAATAGTTGCTGCTGAAGTTGATAGATATCAGTTTTCTTTTTCTGGTTCTGCTCTTTTAATGCCGTCAATTTGTTCTTTAGCTGTTGCAGATCATCCATCAAAACTTCAACTAAGAACTAATAATCGATTTACTTAAAAATTCATTTGCTTCAAATACATGAAGTGTTCTTTTCGATCGCCGTAACAGGAGTTGAAATAACAAAGAAAAAATAAATAATCTTGTTTTAAAATACATAAAAACTAGGTAACAATTTAAACAAACAGAACAAAAAAAAACAAATACAAACAATGGGAGCTCTTAATTAAGAAGTGCCTTTTTCATAATCCAATCAAAACCTTCATTAACACCTTTTCCTGTTTTCGGATCACATGGCATGAGTTGATATGTTATACCACTTTGCTTTAATTCCAATTTCTCTGTCAATTCTTCTTTAAATTTCTCTAATGTATCTGGCTGAGATCTGTTAACGTAAATGAGAACTGGTAATTTTTGTACGATTGGATTAGATAACGTCTGTTTTGCATGATCAATAAAAGAATTAAAATCCTTCTCATTTGATGAATCGACAACAAAAACGATTCCGCTTGCCGAGTTATAATATTTAGACCAATATGAGCAATCTCTGCCCGAAACATCCCATATTTCTACTCTTTGATCTTGAAAAATGGCTGTCGAAATTTCGACACCTAATGTAGGATGGGTTAATCGGAAAACTTGATGCTCAATGTATGCAATAATCGTGGATTTACCAGAATCGCATAGTCCTAGGAATGCAAGAGCTGGAAGCTGCGCAGTACTATTAAAGCACCCCATTAGAAATAAAGGAACTTTCCCCCCCCTAACAATTGCTTCTCACTTTTTTTACGAATTAGAAATTATATTCTCTGTATTATATCTTTAAACATTTGTGAGCATAAATTAAATTGTAAAATGAATGGAAGTGGTTTTGATTGTTATAGACCGAAAATAGATTTTTTCGGTTTTCTCTTCAAATAATTGAAAGAATGATACTATTATAGGTTTATTATATTATATAGCATATAATCATGCTATAGCCGAAAATTATAAGTTTTGAGAAGATTGAATATAACACAAATAAATTTGAATGTAAGTTAAATTGCTTGTTGTTTTTAATAGCTATTTAATGAGAAATCCAATATTGCAAAATTCAAATTGAATGATTGAAAGAACAGAAAAAGTCATTCTTTTCAATTTCGAATATGTTTCATTGTATTTATAATTATATGGCAAATAAGATATTTAAACTTGATTTTTGAAGGAAAATTCACAAAATTGAATAAATTCAAATAATTTTTATTCAAAAATAAACTAGTTATTTGAGTTTAATACTAATTATCTATTCAAACTACAAAGTTTGTAATTTAAAATATTTTGTGAGATCAGATCTGGAAAAAAACAAAAAAGTTCAATAATGTCCTTTACCCAATTCTGACTACTAAAAATTCAATAAAAATCAATCAATTAAAAAAGTCTTATATATTCGTTGTGAATATGAAAAATTGAATATAAAGTGATATTATCGAAATTTTTGAGAATTTATGCCGTTCAAAAAAGATAAGGCCTACAAAAAGTATTGAATAAAATCAACCTAATTTTGATTAAAATAGCACTTTTTCGAAAAATTCAGAATTCAGAATGGTCTCATTGGCTTGAAACTAAGTTTATTGGTTCCGATATTGCATGGTTTGCTTTATTCCTTGTGGGAAAGTCGTATAGCGTTTACAACATCAAAAGAAATTTAATGAATCACTTAGTTTTTTAAAGAACATCTATTGTCTTGTATAATAGTGATGTAATCACCTATTTTTATCAGCTTTATTTGATTTTTATTGATTTCTGAGGAATCCGAAAATTGATATTATCGAGTGTCAACTGAATTATAACTGAGAAATAAAATATGAAAATTGGATCAATTCTGAGTGGATGACATGTCAAATTTTTTTAGATCCAATGAGAGCTGCAAACGCCAAGGCCACAAGGACAGAGAAAATTGTTTTCCTTGGAGCCCAATCTACAGGAAAAACTGCCATCGTTACAAGATTTCAGTATGACACCTTCACACCAAACTCAAACTCAACAATTGGTGCCGCATTTGTTTCTAAAGATCTTAACGTAGACGGAACGGTCATTAAGTTAGACATTTGGGATACAGCCGGTTCAGAGAAGTACAAATCCCTTACACCAATGTACTACCGTGATGCCCGCGCCGCCATTATTGTTCTTGACGTTACAAGACCAGAAACAATTCAAGCAGCTGGTGAATGGATTTCCGAATTACGTGAGCATGGAAAATCTGACTGCATGTTAATATGTGCTGCTAACAAATGCGATTTAACAGGCGAAAGAAAGGTGACTTCCCAAGAGGTTCAAGATTTTGTATTTGCAAATCAGATTTCAGCATACAAAGAAACATCTGCTTTGAATGGTGAAGGAATTAAGGAACTTTTCAACGAAATTGGAAAGTTATTATTAACTCTCCCAGCAGTTGAATCTCAAGAAGATGCTGAAATTGCCGGCCTTGTTGGTGACCTTGATACTAGTGCTAAGCCACCACAAAAAACCGGCTGCTGCTAATTTATATCCTTTTTAAAACCTTTCATTTCAAATATCATGAACAACAATTGGATTTTTAGTTGTATAAAGGTATTGCAATATCGACAATATTTTTAAAATGCTTGCAATCAAGTTTTTTTAATTGCGCCATAATGGCAACATTATAAATTTCATTGATAGGAAAGACTATGGTAAATTACTTCATACTGCTCAGTTTTATCGAATTTTATCAAATATTGGTATAAAAATAATATTGCCATTCATAAAAACACTAAATATGAGCATATCAATCATACCATAATTTTATATTGGAAGAGTTATAACCATTTCTATAGTTAATAATTAATATATTTGATTGTGATAAAATTTCAAATTCAAAATCATGCTTAAGACATGTTATTTAACTGAAAATTTGCTTCATTCGTTTCTCTTTGATTTATATTCCAGCTAAATAATAATCTGTGAAGATCATTTGTTATTTTTGCATGAGCATTTCGGAAGAGATTTCTTTCTCGAAAATGAGAAATTTCCGAGACATCGGAGGATTCTTAGCATCAAATGGTAAGAAAGTCAAGAAAAATATCTTCTTTAGAGGTCCTGCTCTTGATAATTTAAGGACCAAAGAAGATTTCGAAAAATTTAAGAGTTTCAATATCAAAACTATATACGACTTACGATCTGATAGCGAAAGAAAAGTTAGACCAGATCCAATATTTCCTGGTGTAAAGCAAATTGGAATATCAGCTTTGCAAAATTGTCCAAGCAGTAAAATAGATGTCACAATACACTACATTAGGACTCTTAATCGCGAGCAGATTGCAGAACTCAATAAAATGACAGCAGAAAGATACAAATACATTCCTTTCAAAAATAAAGCATACCAAATGATTTTTGATGACATAATTGATAAGAATGTACCAATCTTATTCCATTGCTTTGCAGGAAAGGATAGAACAGGTTTAATTTCTGCTTTCATTTTATCAATGCTTGGTGTTCAATATGAAGAGATAGTTAAAGACTACCTAATTACGAATACCTACATGAAATATGCCGTTGACAGAGTTAAGCGTCAATTAGAAAAAGTCCTTCCTCCTGGCAGCGATGATGTCATAGCCAAATTCGCTGGTGCACAGAGAAGTCATCTTGATACCGCTTATGAAACGATTTACAGTCGTTATAAGGATTTCGATTCTTTCCTTGAAGATAACTATGGAATCACACCACAAATCAAGGACAAATTGATGGAAACATACCTTGAATAGTTTCATTTCTTCCTTTAATCCAAAATTATTCACTTTTGATATTAATCAAGAGCAATGATTTTGGGGTATTTAAACATATTACAAACTTAGAGTTAAGCATTCATACAACTAAAAGTTATATTGTTTAACATATAAAAATATTTTTTATTAATAACAGCTAAAATATTCGGAAATCTTCAGCATTAAACTCTTTTAAACTTTGTTTTGAGAATTTTCTAACATCCCCAAGAATGAATTGATTAATCGAACAAATATCAAAAGATATAATTTCGGTAAGAAGAGCATTTATATTAGAAAAATATTTTGAAAAGGCTGATGAATCTGAGAATGAAGAATTGCCTTGAAAAATCAACGAATTCAATCTAAACTATGTAAGCTTCATTCAAAAAGACATTAGATTAAAAATTGTGCCTGAGATGTATTTAAAAAAGAAAATGAAGAAGGAATTTTGAAATTATTAAAAATTATTTATTCAAATAGGGCAAAGCAAGCAAACAGGGTAAGGAAATAGGGCTTGGGTCCCTATAAATGAGGTATAACATAAAGTTATAGATAAAATTGTTACGAACTAAAGTAAATAATTCTGTGTGTTAGTTTTTAAAAAAATTGTTCCGATGATTCTCAGATTTCCGACTATCGTCATATTTCAGACCGCCCGTCGGGGTAATCCTCATCGAAAAAGGAGATACATACTATTTAGAAAACTCTAAGTTTTATGGCCATGCAAAACTGCTTTTTTTCAAATATTTACAACGGACGAAAAATGAGTTTCTCATTAGATTCTACAAAACGCTTAGCCTACATAAGAAAATTATAATCTCTTAATCTCGTCTCAATTATCCCATCTTTTATTGGTTTGTTAAAATATTGTCTGACACAATATTTCATTAGACTTATTTAACTTATTCTATTCGTTTACTCAAAACGTTTATAATGATATTCTAGCTATTTGAGCATCCATAGGATAATTTATTTAACGTGTCATATAACATCGATTATGAAGTTAAATATAACCGACACATAGAGTCTATTATTTCATTAAATGCATTTATTACCTTTCGCATGGTTATTTAAGATTAAATTCATAAATCCAAATTAAAATTCAATCATCAATCAATATTCAATGTAATATCATCTGGCTTACAATTAATATGAACATTAACACATAAATCATCTAGTATTTGAGAGCCCAAAACTCATTGAAGGATCGAATATTGATAAAACTGTGATGTGTGTTTCGGGTAGGAACTGATCTTACATCCTGTTCTCGGAGCACAGTTACATGTTAAATGTTCATCTCTATTGTCTCCCGATGATAAAATTGATTACCTTTGATTTTTTTTTTCAATTGATTCCGAAAATTTCACCGCTTTTGAATAAAAAAAATTTTACAACAATATAAAAAATGTTTGAAGACCATGTTCGCTATGAGCTATTCAAAGTTACAAAGTCAGAAAACAAGAACTACGTTGTGTACGAACTTGTGATGAAGAAAGATGAACCAGAGAAAATGGAAACAGTACATGCATTCTGGATCAGAGCTGCAGAAGATGGTGCTAAGAGAGATTTAAAGTGGATAGAAAAGTAAATTGGATACGGTGTTAGAATTGATGAAGCCAAAGACGATTCCGTCAAATTCCATGTTGTGGCCATTTCAAGAATCAATCTTACAGCTATTAAGAAAGATGATAAATACATTTGCACATGTCTTATTAATGGTGTTGATGCTGTTATTGAAACAATTTACATTGATGTTGTTACTTCCATGTTTGTTCCACATGTCAACTCTATTACAGTTTCAGGAAAGGCTCTTGATGATGGCCGTGAAGTATCCGAGGTCATTACAAAAGCGTAAAAAAATCGGAAAAATATTAATACTCCAAACACTTATAGATTGTGTATAATATTAGTTTCATTATAATAAAGTGCTTGTTTATGCATTACTATATAATCAAATGCAAATTATATTCTAATATCAAAAATTATCTCAGCATAAAACAATAAAAGAAAACAGCTTACGAATTAAATAATCGAATAAATTGCATACGTATTATAAGTGCTAATAATACCAATCGATTATATATAGACGCGAACAATAATTGAAATAGATACGACATGTCGAATTCCAATAACTTATAATCAATTTCTTATAAAGTAATATGCATTGAATGTTAGAATTAATAGAATAAATGTGAAATTTTATCTGAAATTTAGAAAAAAATCCAAATTGCAAACGAAAAACATGATGGAAATTTTGACCAATTGAAAATAATGATATTTATTTAAAGAAATATTTTTGGAATTGATTGAAGATAAAAATATTTATGAAATTAACATTCGAAAAATGAAAAAAACAGCAGTAGTGAAATAAAGAGCAATAAATTGTACGATTATTTGTGTTGCTGACATTAGTGTTTTCAATTTTGACTAAATTTTATTTAATCATAGTTGGTGGTGTAAATCTTATAACATTAAATTTGAACGACTTTGAACATTTTAGTAGTATATGTGGAAGGGTTGTGTGACTTTTTTTGTAAACGTAAGAATTCATACAATATTGAACGATTTTGTATCATTTTTTTTAACATATGAAGTAAAAAATGTATGATTCTTACGGTTTTTATTCTTACGTTTTTGAATAAATCAAGATTTAAAAAATTGACTTCTTACGTAAAATTAAAACTAAGTTAAATTTATTTTTTTTATTTTTTTAATTCGTAAGAAAATGAGTGGATCAAGATTCGTAACCGTCAATCAATTAATGGATGCTCTTTCACCAATTCTTGAAAATGTTAAACAAGTAGATGTTTATTTCGATGATTATGTAGAAAGTTTATATTATAAAGGTAAGTTTAATATTAAACCTATTGCTTTTGCATTTGATAATAAATTAATTGAAAATGCAAAAAATTGGGAATTAATTCCGAATATTGAATTTATAACAAATATTAATGATAAATGGTTTAAACGAATTCCAACCACAAAAGTTCTTTGTAAATTAATGATCAAAACTGAGGAAAAAGAATTTAACGGGTTTAAATATCATCCAAATAAAGTTTCAGAACTAGAAAATGAAAAACTTCAGAAAAAATTAAACGATAGACTTTCAAATGATCGTATTGAAAAAATAAATAAACTAGCAGAAGTTGCATTTAATAGAAAAAACCAGAATTTTCGAAAAAGTGACACCAACTATTAAAGTTATTTTATTACTAGATTTATTTACAAATTATAAGATAATATCATTAACCGAATATATTTTTAATATAAATAAAAAACTTTTTTTATACAAAAAATTCCAATCAATCGATAAATATTATAAAACATTTATTCCAAAAAGATTAAGTAATAGGTGGGATCCTGCATATAATATAATTTTATGTCATAAAGCTTACAAATTTTAGATGGACCACAGTGAGAATGTGAGTGGTTAATTTAAAGGTGGTCTGATAAAGATATCGAAGCTTACTCAACACAGCATGAAGCAGTTTCTAATACACAATCTTACTAGTGGTGTTTCGGTCGCCAGCGCTCTCATAGGGTGCTGATTTCAAAAACCACTACTTCAAATTATTCAACAATACTCAATGCAGCATGAAGCAGCTACTACTGCTGTATCTTACTGGTAGTGTTTTGGTCGTTGGCTCTTGCACAGTCTCTCAGATTTTCAAAAATTTTTTCAACACTATCTTGTTTCGCTCTCAGAAAGCTATCCTACAAAGACATCGAAGCTTACTCAACACAGCATGAAGCAGTTTCTAATACACAATCTTACTAGTGGTGTTTCGGTCGCCAGCGCTCTCATAGGGGTGCTGATTTCAAAAACCACTACTTCAAATTATTCAACAATACTCAATGCAGCATGAAGCAGCTACTACTGCTGTATCTTACTGGTAGTGTTTTGGTCGTTGGCTCTTGCACAGTCTCTCAGATTTTCAAAATTTTTTTCAACACTATTTTGTTTCGCTCTCAGAAAGCTATCCTACAAAGACATCGAAGCTTACTCAACACAGCATGAAGCAGTTTCTAATACACAATCTTACTAGTGGTGTTTCGGTCGCCAGCGCTCTCATAGGGGTGCTGATTTCAAAAACCACTACTTCAAATTATTCAACAATACTCAATGCAGCATGAAGCAGCTACTACTGCTGTATCTTACTGGTAGCGTTTTGGTCGTTGGCTCTTGCACAGTCTCTCAGATTTTCAAAATTTTTTTCAACACTATCTTGTTTCGCTCTCAGAAAGCTATCCTACAAAGACATCGAAGCTTACTCAACACAGCATGAAGCAGTTTCTAATACACAATCTTACTAGTGGTGTTTCGGTCGCCAGCGCTCTCATAGGGGTGCTGATTTCAAAAACCACTACTTCAAATTATTCAACAATACTCAATGCAGCATGAAGCAGCTACTACTGCTGTATCTTACTGGTAGCGTTTTGGTCGTTGGCTCTTGCACAGTCTCTCAGATTTTCAAAATTTTTTTTTCAACACTATCTTGTTTCGCTCTCAGAAAGCTATCCTACAAAGACATCGAAGCTTACTCAACACAGCATGAAGCAGTTTCTAATACACAATCTTACTAGTGGTGTTTCGGTCGCCAGCGCTCTCATAGGGGTGCTGATTTCAAAAACCACTACTTCAAATTATTCAACAATACTCAATGCAGCATGAAGCAGCTACTACTGCTGTATCTTACTGGTAGCGTTTTGGTCGTTGGCTCTTGCACAGTCTCTCAGATTTTCAAAATTTTTTTTTCAACACTATCTTGTTTCGCTCTCAGAAAGCTATCCTACAAAGACATCGAAGCTTACTCAACACAGCATGAAGCAGTTTCTAATACACAATCTTACTAGTGGTGTTTCGGTCGCCAGCGCTCTCATAGGGGTGCTGATTTCAAAAACCACTACTTCAAATTATTCAACAATACTCAATGCAGCATGAAGCAGTTTCCAATTCAACAATACTCAACACAGCATGAAGCAGTTTCTAATAAATATATACATATATAAATATATACATATATAAATATATACATATATACATATATACATATATACATATATACATATATAAATATATACATATATAAATATATACATATATAAATATATACATATAAATATATACATATATATATATACATATAACATATATACATATATAATATATACATATAAAATATATACATATATAAATATATACATATATAAATATATACATATATAAATATATACATATATAAATATATACATATATAAATATATACATATATAAATATATAAATAACAAAATACAATCAAAAAATAGTGTTTGGAAATTTAAGGTTAAGTGTCACTTTTTCGTAAATTCTACCACACTCCATTTAATAATGAAATATTTGATGAATATAACCTTGAACTCAGTGATGGGTTTTAAGGACCCGGGCTCAACGAGTCATGATTTATGAAATCAATAATTTGATTTATTCGCTCTTCAATAATTTCTATTCTTTTTGTTAAATCATCAATTTTCATTAATGAGGTGATTCTTGATTGAGGAATAGATTTCAAACTAATCACCCCTTTTATTTTTGAAATTTTGAATCCATCAACTTTAAACATTTTATTCAATTTACATGTTGTCAATTCTTCAAATAATTTTTTATTATTGGCATAATAGTCATTAAATTCTTCAACAGATGAAAAAATTTTTGTTTCAGTAATTGGTTTAACAACGTTTATTTTTTGTTGAACATTTTCACTTTCATTTATTTCTTCCTCCTCTGTTTCATTTATTTTTAAAATTGGTTTCATTTATCATTAAATAAAAATTAGAATATAAGTGATGAAATATATTTTTTAATTAATATTAAATCAGAAATGGCTGCAGGATTCTTTAAAAAATTATGGGATGGAATTAAGAAAGCTGCGGGTTGGGTTTATAAAAAGGTTATTAAACCTGTTGCAAACTTTTTGGCACCAGTAGCGAAAACGGCAGGAACTATCATAGGTGGAGTATTAGGTACAAAAGCAGGTAATCCGGCAATGGGAGCACAAGCAGGTAACGCAATTGGTGGAATAGCTGAAGGAATACTTAATAAAATAGGAGGTAGATAGTGGAAAAATAAATAAATATTATTTTTATCTTAGTATCGGTTGTAGTCTTTGATAAACTTTTTCTCCTTTATTTAATATTTCTCTTATTGGGGCGGCTTTTGGTGTTATTGATTCAGCAACGTCACTAATTGCTTCTTTATTCTTAAATATCCAATTTTCTCCTTTCTTCATTGTTTCCCAAACTTTATGCGCTCCTCTTTTTACTTTATCCCACAGTTTCTTAAATATACCTGCAGCCATAGTTGATTATTTCATTAAAATTAAAAATTCATTTTCATCTTTTAATTTTGATTTTTTATTTAATAATAAATGACGACTAACTATTTGGTGCCAAACACTAAACCGATTAATGGAAATATATTTCATTCATTCGAAAAGATAAATGAAATATTCGCAAAGAATGATGGTAGAAGATATTATAGAGAACTTGAAAGTTCATGCTATGACTCTGATACTCCATATTTTGATGATAAACAAACTCATTTAAGAATT